GCATTTATTCTTTCAATTTTAAAGTGATCGATGATGTTACTGGTAAATTTTATTGACTTCAATTCGTGGTTGTTCGATTTGCAAGGTGCAATTTGGAAGACTTCCATTGATATATTTTGCGATTATGTTGTCCCTTTGTAGTATTAGATTATTGCTACAGTAGGATTATCATGCAATATCCACTCAATAAGTGTTAATAAATTATTACGGTTACGGCAGCTATTTTGATTGATTTCATTAAACCTTTGTTGAAATTGTTCGATTGTCGATATCATTGATTAGCTACCTGAAATAAATTTCCAGTGATTGGTTTAGGAAAAAAAAAGAAAGTAAAACATAAATTATTCCCAATCGAATGTTAATACTTGTTTATAATGCTTTGAAATGTCATCATATTCGAGACACGGTGATGCTGAGTACATCTCATGTAAATTACGTAATTTTAGTTCCGGTAATTTAGGTCTCTTCCTACTTCATGAGTTAACTACTTTATGCCCATTTTTGAATGCTTCAAAAAAAAGAAAGAAAGAAAGTCTCAGTTTAGAGACAAAATAGTTTAGGCTCACGCCCTTTCTAGGGCCATCTGTAAAATATGTCCTCACAATCAGATCTGCGTAAAGTATTAACATAATCGATGGATCGATGAAAAGCAAATGTATCTGATTGATTCATTAAGGGATTTAAAAATCTAAGAATAATTTTTGTTAAAATGATAAATCTGTCAAGTTGAATCTAAAGTTAGATTTACGTTTCAAGATTTTATTCTTGTATGCCGTACAACAGACACTTCATTTGTTTTTCCTTTTTAATCAATAAATTTTTAATTTAACAGTTGATTATTAGCCGATGTTGACATACGACTTCATCTAATATCTGGAATAAAAATTGTAAATAAAATTTCCTAGCAAATTACAATTTAATATTAATCTGTACTCGGCAGTGTGTTTTTGTTTTTTTTCAACAAAATTTATGGATTAAATTCAGGAAAAGGTGGCGATGGAATCAATTTACTGCTGATGCACTGGCGGCAGGAGAGTCTCTTCTGTTTTCCGGTATTCGAGCCAAAATTACATCACAGTTTGTACCGGTATGTTTGTATTTCCCACGGTTTATGGATTTTCTTCCCTTACATTGTTTTTTTCTTCCATGACCTTACGCTTTTTTTTCCTCTTTCATTGGTAAAATTTGCATGCTAATCGTTTTTGAAAGAAGGGTTACCTGAATAAAGAAACTTTGTTTCGATGTTTCATTTTTAGATTTTGTGGGATACATGTTTTCATATTTGGTAGTTGTTTTTACTAGTGTTTAATTTCTTATATTTATCAGTTTCTGATTTTTCAGGTAAATATGGGTCAGATATACACGGTGACCGCTGAAACGCCTACATCTTCATATGCTCGAATCCCAGCGGTTCTTATTCATGGATTTGCTGGTGGTGTAGCTTTATGGGCTGCTAATATTGATGATATGGCGAAAAAACGGATACTTCATTGCTTCGATTTATTAGGTAGTTATACTAGTGATATACTTTTGTTAAGAAACCTTTAATTGACATTTCAAATTTGCAACTTCGTCGTATCTCCAATAAAATAAATTAACTTCTTTCTGTTTTTAATATTTCGAAATGTTTGTTAATTTGTAGGTTTTGGACGTTCATCACGTCCTGTATTTGCCAAAGACGCAGCACTAGCCGAATTACAGTTTGTTCAGTCAATTGAAAATTGGAGAAAGGGAATGGGAATTAGCAAAATGATTTTAGTAGGCCATTCTTTCGGTTAGAATTTATTCATACTATTTTGGAATAGTATCCAGAAATCCTACAATTATTAATTTTCCTTTTGCACTTCCAGAATTTGTGTGGATTGTATTTCTAAGAGAGTTTCTGCAATTATTTCACTGTAGATCGTTTCTTTGAATGTTGATAATATTATGGGGCTAACAAATTTTTCTTGTCCCGAATTATGACTTATTTGAACTCAAATGCTAATTTACAGGCGCATTTTTGGCGGCTGCTTTTGCACTGGAATATCCAGAACGTGTGCGACATCTAGTTCTAGTTGATCCATGGGGGTTTCCGGAAAAGCCTTTGGAGATTTCGCGACAAGTAAATTTTCTTTCATATTTTTCAGATATATTCGTAAAATATTCATTTAATTATAGCAAACCTATTGTTAAGTCTTATTATCGATGATTATCAAATAAAATACTGTGATTTAATGTGTGACAGAGTTTCAGCAAAATTATCCTGTTTGGATTAAAGTTGCTGCGCGGGCAATGTCATTTTTTTATCCCTTAACTGCTTTACGCTGGGCAGGACCGTATGGTAAGTTTTGTTTTTATTGGCACACTTTGAATTTCAAGAGAAATCAAAGACGCAAAAAAGCAAAATAATTGTATATTGCAGGTGTTTCAATGATTAAAGCCGTACGACCTGATTTAAGTCTTCGTTTTCGATGTGCTGATCCAAATGCTATTTATGAATACTTTTATCATTGCAATGCCCAAACTCCTTCCGGAGAAATCGCCTTCACTAATATGAGCTTTTCATTTGGCTGGGCCAAAAGACCAATGCTTAAAAGGTTAATGAATTGACTCATCTCTTGCATGCTTTGGCATAATTTTATGATCAATCAAACTTACTGGTTCGTCCGCATGTTTTTTCACTTGTTTGTTTGTGCTACTGGCTTATTTTCCTAGAACATAACCATGCTTGTCTTACGAAGGTCTCATCATTGAAGTGATATTAATCTATTATTATCTTTTTTAGAATAATAGAGCTACCACCTGAAGTACCGATAACATTCATCTATGGAAGCAAAAGTTGGATTGATTCATCTTCGGCTGTTGAAGTGCAAAATGAAAGGCGGAATGCCTATGTTGATGTTCAGGTTTAATAAAAGTTTTCATATTTATGAAGACATTTTTTTTTTTTTTTTGTATTTGAATAGTAGGTCTAAAGGATTTCTTTTAAGACAACTCGGAATTTTCTTCATGATGCATAGGTATTTCATAATGTGAGATAGTGATACTTTGTTTCTATTTATTAATACCCGTCCATTACATGTATATATATGTATATACATGTTTACTCATTTGTTTGCTTATTTATTACTTATTTATTCACTTGTTCACATTCATTTAATTAATTGGTTAATTAATCAATTTACTACATTCTATTATTTTGAAATTCTGAATCAAAAATTTCGGTCAGTTAGAATTAAAATTTTTATTGAATTTTTGTGGAACATTAATAGAAAAATAGTATATATTCTTCATTGAAGGTTATAAATGGTGCTGGCCATCACGTTTACGTTGATCAGAAGGAAGTTTTCAACAATGTATTATCTAACTTATTCGACAAAATTGATGCCGACGGAGATGTCACCGTCCCAAAAAATATTTAAAAAAAAATTGATTTGGAATGAAAACATCATTAGCGAATACGGGAGACCTACATAAATGATAACTAAATCGATGCGGCTGTTAGAGTGCACTTGTGCTAGAATTGTATCAGAAATATTATTAATTTGTTTACTTGGACTAGATTACTAATTATGGGACGTTAGCTCCACAGTACTTGATTTATAATTATATATATATATATATATATATATATATATATATATATATATATATATATATATATATATATAATAATAATAAT